GCACCATCACAGATCACTGCAGCCTCGACCTCCTGGGCTCAGTAAATACCTTCCACCTCAGCTTCCTGAGTAGCTGGTACTACAGGTGCATGCCACCACACCTGGCTTATTTTGGCTTTTTATTTTTTATTTTATTTTATTATTATTTTTTCTTTGAGTTGGAGTCTCACTCTGTCGCCCAGACTGGAGTGCAGGGGCCGCTCCCAGCCACCACAGCCTCGACCTGCTGGGCTCCGGCGATTCTTCCACCTCAGCCTTCCAAGTAGCTGGAGCTACAGGTGTGCGCTACCACTCCTGGCTCATTTTTTGATTTGTTGTAGAGATGAGGTCTCACCAAATTGCCTAGGCGGGTCTCGAACCTGTGGGCTCAGGCAATTCACTCACCTCAGCCTCCCAAGGAGCGGGATTACAGGCTGAGCCACCGAGCCCGGCTTATTCTGGCTTTTTGTTTTGTTTTGTTTTTTGTTTTTTGTTTTTGAGTTGGAGTCTCACTCCGTAGCCCAGAACTGGAGTGCAGTGGCCGCTCCCGGTCACCGCAGCCTCGACCTGCTGGGCTCCGGCGATCCTTCCACCTCAGCCTTCCAAGTAGCCGGAATTACAGGCATGCGCTACCACGCCCGGCTGATTTTCTGATTTATTGTAGAGATGAGGTCTCGCTGCCCAGGTGGGTCTCGAACCCGCGGGCTCAGGCAATCCACTCACCTCAGCCTCCCAAAGGCGCGGGATTACAGGCTGAGCCACTGAGCCCTGCTTATTTTGACTTTTTAAGATAATATTTTGTAGAGATGAAATCTTGCTATGTTACCCAGGCTGGTCTCAAACTCCTGGGCTCAAGCATCTGCCAAAGTGATGAATTGCAGGCATGAGCCACAGCGCCCAGCCCAATCTACTCTTTTTAGTTGAGTTTGATGTACTTTTTCTAAGTGAATTAATATTGGTTTCACGTATCCATCTTTTTCGAAACACTCAAAGTTCACTTGCTTTAAGTAATCTGATTTTAACATCGACATCATCTTCAGCATGAACTCACAGTTGTGTGCCCCCAGCCAGTGAGAGTTGCACATCCCTTTGGCCACACATACAACACAGGCCAGGACAATTAAAGTCTCATCCTGGATTTTTGTTGAGAAAAACATTTTCTTTGCAGCTAAATTGGAAGATTGCAATACTGCAGACACCTGTTCATCACTTACAGAGAGTCTGAGAATGAAGTCAACCCAGAGAAAAGCAGACCTCAGAGATCGAAAAAAAAAGATTCTTGCATTACATAATTTGAGCCTTTAGAGCTAGCTATGCCTAAAACCGACAACCCCTGTAATTTTCAGCAACATGATCCAATACATTCTATTCTCTGCTTAAACTGGTTTAAGCTGGATTTCTGTCACTTGCTAAAGAAGTTCTGACTAATATAGTGTGTGTGTTGTTGGTTGAGCAATGGAATGAATAAGCTAAAATGTTCTATTTTGTGTAGGAATGATTTGTATGATGATATTGTGTATGTAACATTTTTTAAAACAGTTTTATTGATATATAGTTTACATACCATAAAAATCACCCTTTTAAAAGGCACAATCTAGCCAGGCATGGTGGCTGACACCTGTAATCCCAGCACTTTGGGAGGCCGAGATGAGAGGATTGGCTGAGTCCAGGGGTTCGAGACCAGCCTGGGCAACTTGGTGAGACCTTGTCTCTACAATAAATCAAAAATTAGCCGGGTGTGGTAGCACATGCCTGTAGTTCTAGCTACTTGGAAGGCTGAGGCGGAAGGATCACCGGAGCACAGCAAGTCGAGGCTGCAGTGGCCGGGAGCGGCCACTGCACTCCAGTCTGGGTGACACAGTGAGACTCCAACTCAAAAAAAAAAAAAAAAAAAAAATACAATAAATCAAAAAATTAGCCAGGCATGGTGGTGCACGTCTGTGGTTCCAGCTACTTGAAAGGCTGAGGCAGAAGGATCACCTGAGCCCAGCAAGTCGAGGCTGTGGTAGTCATGAGCATGCTACTGTACCCAGTCCAGGTGACAGAGAAAGACTCTTACTCAAAAGAAAAAAAAGTACATAATCCAGTGGAATTTAGTATATTTACAGTATTGTGCACCTATTACTGCCCTTTTATTTTAGGACATTTTCTTTCTTTCTTTTTTTTTTTTTTTTTTGGTCAGAATCTCACTCTGTCACCCAGTGCCCAGACTGGAGTGCGATGGCATGCTCACAGGCACCCCAGCCTCAACCTGCTGGGCTCAGGTGATCCTTCCACCTCAGTCTTCCAAGTAGTTGAAACTACAGGCGTGTACCACCATGCCTGGCTACTTTTTCTTGATTTATTGTAGAGACGAGTTCTCACCAAGTTGCCCAGGCTGGTCTTGAACCTCTGGGTTAAGGCAATCCTCTTGCCTCAGCCTTCCAAAGTGCTGGGATTACAGGTATGAGCCACTGAGCCCAACCTTGGGTTGTTTTTAATTTGTAAGGATTATTTATATAATCTTGATACAAGTTCTTTATCAGATAAATGATTCGCAAATACTTCTCTCACTCTGTGGGTTGTTTTTTTCACTATCTTTTTTTTTTTTTCTTTGAGTCAGAGTCTCACTGTCACCCAGGCTGGAGTGCGTGCTTACAGCCACTGCAGCCTCCACCTGCTGGGCTCAGGTGATCCTTCCACCTCAGCCTTCCAAGTAGCTGGAACTACAGGCGAGCACCACCACACCCAATTAATTTTTTTATTTATTGTAGAGACAAGGTCTCACCAAGTGCCCAGGCTGGTCTCGAACCCCTGAGCTGAGGCAATCCTCTTGCCTCTACCTCCCTCTTTTCAATTTCTTAATGATGTTTATTAAAGCACACAAATTTTAAATTTATTCAGGGTTTAATTTATTTATTTTTTATTTTTATTTTTTGGTCAATTGTGCTTTTGGTATCATATCTATAAACGATTGCCTAATCCAAGGTCAAAAAGATTTAGTAAGGGTTTTATAGTTTTAGCTCCAATATTTAGATCTATGATCCATGATCCATTTTGAGTTAATTTTTAAAAATATGGTCAGAATAGGAGTCCAACTTAATGCATATGCTTGTGGATGTTCAGTTGTCCCAGCACCATTTGTTGTTGTTGTTGTTTTTTTTGAGTTGGAGTCTCACTCTGTCGCCCAGACTGGAGTGCAGTGGCCGCTCCCGGCCACCGCAGCCTCGACCCGCTGGGCTCCGGCGATCCTTCTGCTTCAGCCTTCCGAGTAGCCGGAATTACAGGCATGCGCTACCACGTCCGGCTGATTTTTTGATTTATTGTAGAGATGAGGTCTCGCTGCCCAGGTGGGTCTCGAACCCGCGGGCTCAGGCAATCCACTCACCTCAGCCTCCCAAAGGCGTGGGATTACAGGCTGAGCCACCGAGCCCAGCTCCCAGCACCATTTGTTAAAAAGACATTCTTTTTGCCACAGATACAATATTATTTTTGTAGACGTTTTACTTAGAACAATTTTTTTTTTTTTTTTGAGTTGGAGTCTCACTCTGTCGCCCAGACTGGAGTGCAGTGGCCGCTTCCGGCCACCGCAGCCTGACCTGTTGGGCTCCGGCAATCCTTCCTCCTTAGCCTTCCATCTTTTTCTTTCTTTTTAACAGAAATTTCCATCTAGCTAGATTTCCCAGTCCCTTTGTTATGTAACCCATTTGTTGGAACTTCAACACTCACCCTGGAGAATTTCATCTTGTTGGTCTCAACCCAACTTCCCAATCTGTCAAGGCTGCCTCGACTCCACTTGCTTCAGTTGCCTATTGCTCCCCTTCTGCAGCCCGGGGTGGGCAGGGTGAGGCGTGACCTCCTTAAGCGACTCAAGACACTGCCAGGGAGCCTGGGGCCTCCCCCACAGAGACCTCCTTTCGCCTTATCAGAACCGCTGAGGTCTGGCTAAATTTGAGTCTCTGTGCTCCAGCTCGCAACTCCGTTGTGTCTATAAGGACAGCTTCAAACTCCTGTGCTCACGTGATTCTCCCTGCCTCAGCCTCCCGAATAGCTAGGACTACAGGTGCATACCACTACACCCCTGCTAATTTTTTGTAGAGACAAGGCCTATGTTCCCTAGGCTGGGCTTGAACTCCTGGACTCAGGCGAGCCTCCCACCATGGCCTCCCAGGTCTACTCCAACCCAAGGGCCTTTTCTTTCCAGAACACTCTGTCCCTGAGCGGCTGCCTGGCTCAATTCACCCCTCTCTCTACATGTCTCATCAGATGAACACCTATCTCATTCTGACCACCCCGCCTAGAAGACCAGCCCCCTCCCAACCCCCATGCACATTCTATCCCGATCTCGCCTTTATTTCCACTCACTGCACCGTCCACATATTTGTTTACTTTTTGCCTCCTCATGAAGGTAAGCTTCCTCCGGGCAGGAGCTGGCTTTGTCCACTGCTCTGCCCAGCAGTGGAAGGGTACCAGGCACCCAGTAACCGCTCAATATGTGTTCGCTGAACACACAAGTCGCCAAATCCCTCAGGACTCCATGGGGCCCAGCTCTGTCTCCCTACTGGAATCACGTGGCCGGGAGCGCCTTCCACCCTCACCCTCTTTCCTCACTCAAGACCCTCTTGGTGGGAAGAAGGCAGGCAGCAAAACAGCCAGGCGGCGATACCCACTCTGCTCCCCAAGGGACGCCTCCCTCCGCCTCCTACTCTCCACACAGCTGTAAGGGCCTTTTTTTGGTAGGAAGGGTGGGACCAAATTGTGCCAAGTCTCCGACTTGGAGCCGCCCACCAGGGCCCCAGCCTCCTTTCTCCCAGGCCTCCAGCTCCATCCCGGCCACCCTCAGACACGCCCATCCCCTACGGTCTCTCCTCCCACCACCCTCGTGTCCCTCTCACCTGCCGTCCCCACTCTCTGCTCCTGACACTCCCACAGTGACTTGTCGCCCTTGCCCGGGCAGAGACCCGCCAGCCCTGAGTCCCCATGCCCACCCAGCCTTGGGTCCCCTCCTTCCCTGGCTCCAAGAGCAGGCAGCACGATGGGCGTCGGGGCTCAACCTCTTTATTGAGTAGCAAGAAGGGGGTGGCCCAACCCTGCTGGGGTGGACGGCCACCAGGAGGCCCACGGAGCAGCTCCCACCTGCCGGGTCAGAACTCAGGGCAGCTCCTGTGAGAAGGGGCCAAGCAGGCCTCAACACCCCTTCCTGATGGAGCCTCGCGGGGGCGCCATCACTCCTCCTCCTCCTCTTCATCCTCTTCCAGGGGTGGCCGGTTCCGCTTGAAGAAGCCCACCTGGGGGGTTCACCAGGTGCGTCAGGTATAGAGATGGTCCTTGGGCCTCAAGGCAGTGGCAAGGATGCACGTGAGAAGCAGCTGCCTGAGACCCTCTCCCTGGACCACCGGGGACATGGGCCCCCTGGATGCCCAGAGGGAGGCTCTCAACACTCAGAGAGTATGGTGGGACAGATGGTGGCTTTCTTGTTTTCTTTCCTTTTATTAAAAAAAATATATATTTTTGCAGAGACGGAGTCCTGCTTGTTGCCCAGGCTGGTCTTGAACTTCTGGGCTCAAGTGATGCTGCTTCCTCAGCCTCCCAAAGTGCTGGGATCATAGGCATGAGCCACCATGTGCAGCTTTTTTTTTGAGCTGGAGTCTCACTCTGTCGCCCAGGCTGGAGTGCAGTGGCACACTCGTGGCCACCCCAGCATCGACCTTGGGTGCTGGTGAGCCTTCTACCTCAGCCTCCCAAGTAGCCGAAACTGCAGGCACACACTACCACGCCTGGCTAATTTTTGATTTATTGTGGAGATGAGGTCTCGCCAAGTTGCCCGGGTGGGTCTCGAACCTGCGGGCTCAGGCAATCCACTGGTTTCGGCCTCCCAAAGTGCTGGGATTACAGGCTGAGCCCACCGAGCCCGGCCCAATTTTTTGATTTGTTGTAGAGACAAGGTCTCACCACGTTGTACGCTTGGATGCTTACAGGTCTCACGTGCAGTTTTCCCTGAAAGCCCGTGTCTTCCCAGGACTTGAGCACTCGGATCAGGTAGCAGAGGAGCCTCATGAGGAGGGAGGGGCAGGGTCTGGGCCAGTCAGTGGGTCTTCCACCTCCCTCCCAGGGAAGGACAAAGCTGGGAGGGGGCGAGCCTCAGCCCCCTCAGCAGCCAGGAGGTCCTGAAGGCAGGACACAACCCCTGACTCCTCGTGGGGGTGGGTGATCCAAGACCTTAGGGTCAGGGGCCACCCCTTCCAGGGTGTGTGCCAGGAAGAGTTCCCCGGGGAATAACCACCTAAGAGTGGAGACAGATCTACCAGCACTTTGGGAGGTGGAGGTGAGAGGATTGCCTGAGCCCAGGGGTTCAAGACCAGCCTGGGCAACTTGGTGAGACATTGTCTCTACAGTAAACAAAAAAATTAGCCGGGCGTGGTGGCACATGTCTGTAGTTCCAGCTACTTGGAAGGCTGAGGCGGAAGGATCGCCGGAGCCCGGCAAGTTGAGGCTGGCGGTGGCTGTGTGTGCCACTGCACCGCAGCCTGGGTGACGGAGTGAAACTCCGACTCAAAAAAAAGGAGTAGAGACCGATCTGAGCGTCCCCAAGTCTCTCCCCGACTCCGGAGGGTGAGGTGGAGCTGCCCGTGCCCGCCGGGCCTCCACCCTCCTCAGCCTCACCTTCCACATGGCCAGGACCAGGAGCGTGAGCAGCAGCAGGCCACTCAGCGCGCCCACCAGCACCCACCAGATGGGGACGGGCCTCTCCTCCAACACCCGGAGCAGCTGCGTCTGCACCTGCGGTCACACACATGTCTCCTCTGTCACCCTGCCCCGCCTTTCCAAAGACTCAAGCCCGGGGCTGGTGCCGCCAGTCTCGCTGTGCACCTGCGCCTCCCTCAGGCACCTCCCAGCTGAGCACAGACCCCAAGACCGAGGGGCCCTGGCCCTGGCCCTCCACGCTCACCAGGGCCTCCCCGCTGGGCAGGCTGAGCACAGGCACCGCGTAGGGGAGGGAAGACACGTTGAACCACGCGTTGGACTGCAGCACGAACTGGTCCAGGGGCCTCTGGACGGGAGGGTGACAGCCGCTGACCACTCAGGCCTGCTGGGGCTGCCGGGGCCCCAGACCCACCCCACTTCCCCAGTTTCGCCTGTCCCCTTTCTGCCCCCTGAAGTCCTGCCCTTCCCCAGGA